ACCGACCGGAACCGGAACCGGCACCGGAACCGGAACCCGATGGAACCGGATACGGTCCTGAGGCTTCTGAATGATAAAATTAGAGGGTCCCTTTCGGACGTGTTATTTTTGTGGATTTTTGAAACCAGGAACCGGAACCGATATAACCGGAACCGGTAGAACCGGCAAAAACCGGAACCGTATGATGTTATTTTTCGAGGACTGGTTCCAACATTTGAAGACACGACAAGAACCGGTAGGAATCGGGAACCGGTAGAACCGCCGGGCTGGTTCGATTCTTGATTTTGGCTGAAGCCGGTTCCCGGGTCGGGGCCGGTTCCGGCCGGTTCGATCCTTTTGCTCATCCCTAAACTAATGATTTACATCTCCTTTAATCTCTCAGTGAAATATGTCTTCGTATTGATACTTGTGATACAAAGAAAACTGAGTGGGTCAGGCTTGGGAGCCTGGTGAGCACATAGGGTTTTCCCTGCGAAATATGTCTTCGTATCCTATTTATAGGAGGGGTCTGGCCTCCGAACGCAGCGCGTTCGGCTGGACTCGCATCCTATTTATAGGAGGGGTCTGGCCTCCAAACGCAGCGCGTTCCCTGAATGAACGTAGCGCATTCCCGAACGCAGCGCGTTCCACCGTGCGTCATGACTTACGAACTTCGGACTTGACATGCGACGGGACAGGCTCTGGGCTCCGAACGCGGGGCGTTCCCTCTTTGAACGCGGGGTGTTCCCCCTTTGGTAAGCGTGCCTCAAACTTCAGAAATTCATATCTTTCGCATAAGAGCTCCGTTTTCGACATTCTTTATATCCACGCGAAGGTGAGATTATGCTCTACAACTCTCGTTTAGACTCCGTCGGCAAATTTTGACTTTATTTTTATTATATTATTTTTAGTAGGCCGAGATAGGAAAACTCCGTTAGAAATTCATAACTTCTTTATCTGACGTCCGTTTTCGTCTGTCTTTCTTCCGTTGCACTACTATCGACGAGATCTTCGATTCTCGTTTAGATTGTTTCGGCTAGAAACCACTCAATCTCATATTCGAACTTTGGGCTGCATACCGCTAAGTTGGAACTTAGAAAAATCATAACTTCTTCATACGAAGTCAGATTTGGACGTTCTTTTTATGCACACTCTCGGTTTAATTTATTCTACGACTTTCGTTTAGATTGCTAAGGCCAAATATTGCTCTATCGTAAATTCACTATTTACGTCGCGCTGTGTCGTGCCGATTCTGTCGCGAAATTTCGACAGGTCATAACTTCTTCATTATAACTCAGATTTCGGCATTCTTTATATATTCAGAATCCTTTTCACGACTACTGCAACTTAGTTAAGATTACTCCTTCTGAATAATCTTCCATCAGAAAGTCATTTTTGACGCTTATCGTCTCTAAATTGACTAGCCCGGATCTGCGGGCGTTACAGTATTAACAAGGCCCATAGTCCTATCTTTTTACTTTCGACTTTAAGTATACCGAACTTAATTCATTAATTAATGCAAGAAGTCCCAAAATATAATTTTTCCCATTTTACCTTTTTTGGCTCCAAAACATAATTCAAGAGATTAGCTCACTTAACCAACATTATCATCATCCAATAAGGTCTAAACTTTATTCCCTTAAAGCCAAAGACCTTTACTTGATCGTATCATGGTCCACAATCCCAAAATAAGAAACACCCTGAAAGTGGATGTTACAAACTTCTACATCAATATGACACCAATTTTGGGTAGGCCGGGAGAGTTGGGAGTGGAGCAAAATGATTCAAGAAATTACATTTTTAGTTTACCCCATCAATTGAAATTTCAATTAAAAGGATTCAAAAGTTACCTTGGTCTGGTGTTCTTCTTGATTATTAATATATTTGGCCGATTTATGTTTCATTGTGGATTTCAGAAGCAAAGAAAAGTTTAGTGCATCATTGGGAGTTAGAGATGGGATGATGGAGGATGGTGATAGTAGGTGGTTCATTTAGGAAAAGAGTAGGGGAAGGATGCAAATGTAGGAAGAAAAAAGAAAGGTTAGGGTTCGCAGGGAGAACATCATGGAAACGAACGTGGGTAGAAGAAAGATGAAGGTTCTCGTATGTGAGGTCTTCTAGATCCACCAAGAAAACGGAACGATGTGAAGAAAAAAAGATTTGGGCATTGACAATAACAATAAATAGAGACTTAAAACGGTCAGGATTGAAATTAGATAAAATCGGTTGTCCTTCTTAAGGTGATTTTTAACCAAACTTCATCTGTAAATATATAATTACTAACTTTTACTTTAATTTAATATCTTTATTATTTTTTAAGAGTAAATTAAACGAATCGTCTCTCGTGCAGGTGCCAAAATGCACGTTTAGTCTCTAGTTTCAAAAATTAAATCGGATCGTGCCTCTCTTGCACATTTCATCCCTCGTTTATTAAACTTACATGCTTAATCCTTTGACATACATAAAAGAACTATATTGCCTTTTATATTTTACTTTTTAGTTTTATTTTAACTTTTTTATACTATTAATATATTAAGAATATAATAAATCAACAAGGTCGCACATCCTCGCATATGTCTCTCTCGTACTCTGATCATAGTTGAAATTTGAAAACCCTAAGCATCACTATCATCATCACCCACTAGACCATCACATATATATCTTCTGTCTAACTGAATATATGGACGCCTTAAACTTTTTTTCACCATATCTTCACTGTCTTCTCAATCCTCGCCATCCAACCCAATCGCCTGTAAAATGATACCAATTGTCATGGTAGTCGTCGGAAAGCTGCACATGCCTGCTCCACCACCACAGTCCTTTAACTGCACTTTCGCCTTCTCAAACAAAGCATCCGAAAAAATGGATTTGGAACTCCGATGAACCAAAACCCTTGACACGATTTATGGAATAACACATGGAGAACATCTACAAACAACATTCTTGCATTTGTATATATTAGGGTCAAGATCTGCAAACGATTTCTTCCATCGAACTCCAAATTCAAGAAATCGGTCGGAGTTGTAGTTTTCGAAGGTAAGAAGAAAACGAATGGAGTTGTGGGTTTCAACATCATGAAGTCTTTTTATGTTGATCTGTTATGGAGGTACACAGGTGGCGAATGGGGGAGATAGAAGACAAGCAAATAATAGAGCGGTGGTCTTCATCCTATTCGAATCCTCTTTCTTTTACGGTGACATGTAGTTTCTCGATCATCTTGTCTGGCGTTTTGCAAGATTTCGGTGACTTGGTTTCCAGGGAGGTAGAAGGAAAAGGGGAAAGAGAATGGGAAGAAGGAGCGGTGGGTTGGGGGTGTGGACGTGTGGTTAGGGTATTTTTTAATTTTTTTAAAAAATGATAAATAAATAATAAAAAATAAAAAATAAATTATTAAGAGAAAAATATACATTTTATATCTTCAGAGGATTCGAGTGAAAAAAAAAACAAAACAAAATATAAGGACGGTTCGAATTAATTTTAGAAATAAATACTAAAATGTGAATTTTTAGGCCGTCTAATTTTTTTTTTAAATTTTTTTTTAGAGACGTTTAAGTATGATCGAACGAGTGGACGGGTGTGGTATATAACCACCGAAAAGATCCCCAAACCTCTCGTCCGTCGTCTCCGAGTGGCGAAATTCATCGTCTCTGTTTTCATCTCATCCGGTCTGTGGACGTTGCCGGTAAGTCTTCGTTGGCTCTTTCATTAACCCACTGACACGGACATTTTGAACACAACTTCATATCAATCTAATTAGGGTTTGCGATTTCGTTAGTTTCACCACTCTGAATTTTGTGATCTTTGTATTAGGTTAGGTTTTGCTAATTTGCTGTCACTTAAACTATGTGATTGCAAACTTTTCTTTGTTAAACGAGTTTCACTTTGAACTTTTTGATGTCCAAGCATATCACGTCTTATGCTGAATCAATGCGGGTTCTGTTTCTAATTTATCTCCAATAAATTTTAGTTTGCAGCATTAGTTATGAAGTTTGATGTACTTGATTGCCCCAAAAAGATCAAAATCTACAACTGTAAATGTGGGGAATCCGGGAATACGAATACCCTTGTTGATTTTATTCTTTTGAATTAACCTAGAGAACTTTCTTTCATCTTCTTGTGCCCTGAGTGTAAGGGTGGATGAGCTAGTTACTTTAGTCTTTAATATAAGAGTTTACACATCTTGGTTCTTAGAAGGATTAAAAGCTTGTTCATTCAAGAGAGTGGTTTTTAAGATGAAAATGCAACCGCTTCTCATTCTAGGACCAAAATTTGCAACATGTTTAATGGATTAAGACATGGTTGCCTGAAAAGAATTGATAAATTAGTGATTGAAACATGGTTGTATATTTTGTCTTATGGGAAAAAACTGAAACATCATTGCATAAACAAGCATTTAACCTTTCTTTGAACGAACAGCTTCATTTTGAAAAGGATGTATAATTTCTAGTCATATTGTAATCACCCTTGCTCAGTATTGTTAAATCTTTCATCCTGCAGCTGAAAAAACATCTTTTTGTCATAATTTCTATTTGTTGAAGACTTTTGAAGGCACATAAAGATGCTTCAAATCAGACTAAGCAACAAAGCTGCAACTTCAGAAAGTGGTGGAGGAGCAAAGCTTCCATCAGGGGAGACAGTGACAGTTGCATGCCCTGACCACCTTGTTCTTGCTGAGCTTCCGGTGGCCAAGAGCCTCGGTTCTGCTAGCGGTGTTACTCTTGTGAAGACGGTTGGTCGTAGGTCCCGCCGCCACCTCGGTGAACGTGTCCATTTTTGTGTTCAATGCGACTTCCCCATTGCCATTTATGGACGCTTGGTATGTTACATGTTATATTCCACAACCACTTTCTCCACCTTCTCCTTTCCTTTCAGTATTTTCTATGATGGAATCGTTCATTCCATTGGAATCACCTGATGGAATGGAAATATGGAATAGACCATTCTTTAACAGGTTTGTGGTTGTTGCAGATTCCTTGTGAGCATGCATTCTGTCTGGATTGTGCTAGGAGTGACTCTATATGTTATCTGTAAGTAGAATGTCTTAATAAGAAAAAAAAAATAGACAACCACTAATCACTAATGAGGTTTTTTTTGGGTGATAATAGGTGTGATGAACGTATACAGAAGATTCAAACAATTAAAATGATGGAAGGAATCTTGATATGTGCAGCTCCACATTGTCTAAAATCCTTTCTTAAAAAAACCGATTTTGAGGCTCACGTATACGCGATCCATTCCGATCTCATCAACTCAAATACTCAAAAAGAAGTCAACAACGAGTCCGAACCACTCCGAAAACCAACCACCTCCGACTCAACGGTTCAAGCCCCGACCCCAAGACTGGTCCAAGACGGGCTCCAACCACCACCCATGGTTCCGGTTCCGGTTCGACCGCTAATGAACCCTAAACCCAACCCACAACCACCAATGGACACCAGACCCCATGGGTTCGATGGACCACCTTATGATTACCCAATGAATATGAATATGAGTATGGGGATGAGTATGAGTATGCCTCCTAATTTTGTGGTCCCGGTCAATGTAATGGGAGGTGGGCCCGCTTCGTTTGGTCAACCGATGTATGTGGGCCCCCCGGAAACGGGTCCTTGGAATGGGGCACCATTTGATCCTTCTATGATGATGAATCAAGGTGGTGGTGGTGGTGGAGTTGGTTTCTTTCAGGGAGGTTTATTACAAGGGGGGAATGGTGTTGGTGTTGGTAATGATTTGAGGGATGGAAGGGGGATATTGCCGCCACCACCTCCGCCGTTTGTGGGTGGTGGATACTTTGGTGGTGGTGGTGGTGATATGGGGCAACATGGACAGGGTCAGGGGTACGGGTGGCAACAAGAGAAGCGTGATGCTTTTAATGGTGGTCAAGATTAGTTTAGAATTTACAAGTATATCTTCTTGTTTGCTACTTTTGGTTTATATCTTGCTGTTTAAACTTTAAACTGATTTTTTTAATCTTTGGCTTAACTGACTCACCGTTTAGTTGTTTTTAGCTTCAAAATGAACGTTTTTACAAGGATTTCATAACAATTATGAGTCTAATGTAAATTTGATTTTTTTTCATTTTTTACAATTATCATCTGTTTAATCCTCAAGTGAGCAAATACACAAAGATGTAATCACACAAAAAACATGTATCAACAAGAATATAACTAGAAAAAGGAGTTTCATATTAATGAACACGATAATTCAACAATTCAATACACAAATGGGATTACAGCCTTCCTCCCTTTGGGATAATCTTCACCAAATTTTCCCATATACCACTTGTGATTCGCACGTGCCCTCGGCACCAAGTTGGCACACGTGTATACGAAAAACCCTAACCCGACCCATGACCCGGTCATCAATCCCCAACCCAACCACTCTACTATCTCACCGGAGTAATTTGGGCAGCTCACAAGTTCAAAGAAACCGCCTCTCGGAATCTTATACCCACCGCCGGCACTCTTCAATTTCATCAATTCCATATCTGACTTCACATTCACCGCCATACCACCCAAGAAAACCGCCAATCCAACGCAAAATCGCCACCAGAACCACTCATCGGTCCGGTAATCTGCGTATTCGGACACCCATCTGGTCTGCAAGTAAGAATTGAAGAGGTTGAATGTGAAGGCCATGAGAGCGACACTGATCGGATACCCATTTGAGAGTTTGCGGCGGAGGCGGAGAGGGTAGATGATAGTGCGGTGGAAGTAGTGGAAGATGAAAGGTGAAATGAGGATGATGGATTTTGGATCAGAACGGTGTTGGCCCAGTGGGAAGAGGAGGAGTGTGAACCATAGGGTGGGGCTTTCCATGAGGAACCAGGCTAATGGTGGGGAGATGGTGGGACCCCATCCCTTCCGGTGGTGCTTGCCGTAAGGGGCGGTCGTGAACTGGCAGGAGATGAAGGTGGGTGGTGCGATGAGGAAGTAAGAGATAACGGAGTAATGGAAGAAAGCTTGATCGGAAGGCATCTCTGCAGAAGAGTCGACTGTGATCCCTAAGAAATTGGGGTTAAATGCATCGCCTCCGATTCCGAAAAGCAAACTTCCTTAAAAAATGGTGGACAGTGGACACCGATGTGAAAACGAATAGTATATCCTTATTATTTGGTTAAGGTATTTGTTCGTATAACAATGGCTCTATTTTTTTTATTTAGTAATTTAGTAATTTTTTTTAATATCATTATAGAAGTCGTTTAACAGCAAATTTACAGGTTTGAAATCAGAATGTAATCTTTTTTCGAAGGAAAAAAAAAACAGAATATAATAGATAATGACAATTTTAATTTTGTTTCCATGAATTGATAACTTGAAATGGAAATATTATATTAAAAATATACAAATTCATACGTAATTTAATATTTCTTGTAAGGTTATATAATCCAAAATTGACGATATAATCAAAGCTAGTTTATATGTGTTAAAAAACTAAAACTGTTATACAATCAAAACTAGATTATGTTAATTAAAGGATTATATCATTATATGTTGAAACTCTTATCAGTTTACGGCAATGACAAATACGTTGTATGCCATTTTTAAATTTGAATGTTTTTTTTTAAATATAATATTATAATAGAAATGAAAATATGAAACATGTTATCATTCTTGTATTTAATCCTGGATAACTACTTGAGACTATAATAATCGACTTTGTTTTTTACTAATTCAGATAATCATGTAAGCAAATAAGAATAAGAAAAGTGATTATTAAGATAAAACATAAATTATCTACTAAGTTATTTAAGTTAGATAAAATTTAAATTATCTACTTAGTTATTGAATTTTAATATTCTTGTATTTAATCATGTATAACTACTTGAGACTATAATAATCGACTTTGTTTTTTACTAATTCAGATAATCATGTAAGCAATTAAGAATAAGAAAAGTGATTATTAAGATAAAATTTAAATTATCTACTAAGTTATTGAATTTAAATAAAATTTAAATTATCTACTTAGTTATTGAATTTTAACTCCAAGAATGGAGTTCAATGTGAGGTTAGATATTTTTTAAGACATCTTTGGAATGAAAAGAGATGCCGTTTAATGAGTTTAGACGGAATATCTTTTGTGTAGTTTTAATATAGAGAACACAATGAGGAGTTGTCATCTGCATCAAGGAACAAGTTTTATATTCATATGGAAGTTTGAATACTTGAGGTCTATGATCCACAAGAAGAGATATTGAAATTTCTTTTCAATGCATTTCAACCTCAAAGTTAGCTTCAAATCCTCTTAGCATTTGAACAATGACACATGCGAAATAGGCTCAGAGCACAATGATGGTATGGGGTTGATAATGAGTTACCGATTAGTATAGAGTTTTATATAGAAAAATCTTATTATTTTGAAAAGAATAATTATAAAGTTCTGAGCTTGACTTCCTTGGGGCTGTTGATATCTTGTTGTCGTTCTTCTCTCTTTCCTGTGCGCGCTACCTATAATAGAAGAAAATAAGGAATCGACTTATTTCTCTTGTGAAGCTCTCTCTTGTTTAGCGAAAGTCTTCTTCAGAGCTTCGAGTGACTTTTTTCTTTGCTCTTCAACAGCCCGTCACTCGAAGCTCCTCTGTCGCGCCCTAGCCGAGCGGTCATCGCCTGCACAAGCAAGCAGATTAGCTCCATCATTCCATTATTGTGCCGTCATAAAGTTTTTTTTAATAGAAAGTCTAGGTTATTTAATATTTTGTCTAAATTAACTAAAAAGTTCTTATTTTTTTTATTTTAATAGGAAATGATAGATTATCTTGTAAAATTAAATAGTTTGGACTTTTCTGTTGAAAAAAAATTAAAACTTTATCAAAAAAAAATCAAAATAATGAGATTTTTCTATATAAAACTCAATCATTTATGATTCCATAAACTTTATCTTTCTTTTATTTTTCGGTCATAATCATTAACTTCATTGTCTTCATCCTCTTAATAATCTCAATTATTCTTATCGTGAGGCGTATAGATGGTTTATATTCATGTTATATTCATGAAGCAAAAAAAGAAACAATCTCAATCACTTGTCCTAGGTTATATAGTCAGATGCAATTTCAAGGTTCGATTATTCAGATCTAGCAAATACTCTCAACCACAATTAACGTTCTTTACACCCCCCTCCAATATAAATTATTGTTTTGTGAATTCATTACTGATTCAAAGAAATTTGCTTTAAAAATGATAGGAGAATACAATAGTTTTAAAATGTTATATAAAATAAAAACTAAAATGTTAAATAGTTTTAGAAGCATTTTTTTCTATAAAACTTAAAAAACATGTGAAATAAAATCTGAAACAATATTTTAGCCCATAACTTTTGGTTATCAAGAAAACCATGGCGGCGAAACCCTCTAACGGTATAACGACGTCGTTAAGAAGTTGGTGAATCTCCTTATCCGGCACCTCTTCCAAGTCCCCGAAGGAGCAACAACATCATGGCGGCGAAACCCTCTAACGGTAACTTCGCAATCTTCTTCATCTCAATTCTCAACAGCTATAAACATGCGCCATTAATTGATAATCTATGTTTCTTTTCATGGCAGGAGTCATCCTTGAAGAACTGAGAAATGGTGTGGCGGAGTTCGAACTCGTCTCGTCTCCAGTCACTTCAATTTCTACCAACGTTTATCGGAATCCCATACGATCTGTTTTCATAACTGACCACACCCATCGATTCTTCGCGCGAATTGGACAAAAAATGTAAGTGTATTTGTACATTGAGCAATTAAATTTTATGCTGTCAATTGTTTTCGCTGTTTATTCTCAGACTATTCAGCTTTATGAAATTAGGGCAATTACAATTTACAACCCGATTCAGGGTTAAAGCTGCCTTCTATATTTGGGGCTAAATGCAAGAATCAACAATGTGCTCTCAAAATTCATTTATAGTAGCATTGCACTTTCATTTCTCCTTATTACAACACAGTACTTTGAAATCAAAATATTTCTTTCTAAGGCATTATACATAGAAAATCTTCTCATTATAGCAATGACCAATGTATAACCTCTGATGTGACCTCCCCCCTCTTCTAAGTTAGACTCTTCAGATATTCTAATTGCCATTTATATTGAATCCAATTTCTTGTTCCTTTTAAAATTAGGGAAGTTTCACCAGCATTGAGCAAAGTGGAGAGCTTTAGGGTGCATAAAGTTACTGGTGATGGACGCTGTATGTTTCGTGCTTTGGTATCATTTCTATACCCTAATGATTCTTTTTTTATAAAATGTTGAGAAAACAAACAAGAAAAGAGCAACATAAGTGTTGTATCTGTATGTATAGTTTACCAGATTAATGTCTTGTAGGTGAAAGGAATGGCTATGAACAAGAGTGTTAATCTTAGCCTCCGTGAAGAAAGAGAAAATGCAGGTTCTTTTGTGTTTCATGCATCATCTTTTGTTTTGTCATTTGTGTTAACATGTTAACCCTTAAAATGTTTTTGTTATGTGCATATGCTGCAGATGAGCTACGCATGGCAATAAAAGAGGTGTTATGTGATAATGAGAAAGAAAGACATAAGTATGAAGAAGCATTGATTGCTATCACTGTTGAAGAACCCTTAAAACGGTTAGAGATTTCAACCTTTTACTAGACATAGGGTGATTCTGATTAGTTTTTTTTTTTTTTTAATAACTAAATTCAAGTTATGTAATTTGTTAATAATTTAATTTAATTTATGATTTGTAGTTACTGTCAACGCATTGGACGACCAGATTTTTGGGGAGGGGAGTCGGAATTACTGGTTAGTATTTTAATAGAATCATAACAAAAAAAGATGGAAAAATATAATAATAATTACAATTCATCTTATTAATTAATGTGGTTTTTATTTTGCAGGTGCTTTCCAAGTTATGTCGCCAACCTATTGTGGTCTATATACCTGAACATGAGGTATAGAAATGATACCAAAGCAATAAATAAACCTTTTATTTATATATTTTTCTTAAAAAATAATAAATGAACTTTTTTTTTTTTTATTTGCAGCATTCAAGAGGCGGCTATGAATCTGGTTTTATACCAATAGCTGAGTATGGAGCCGACTTTGGCAAGGGCTCAAGAAAAGAAAAAGGCAAGAAAGCTGTGAGGCTTTTGTACAGTGGAAGAAATCATTATGATCTCCTTGTATAAATAACTTTGTATTATATTATTTGAAAATTTTATTATTTACAAGTTGTGTAACAACTTACTGTCGTTATGCTTTGTGGTTAAGAAGGGGATTTTTTTACATTTGATTTAGCATAAAGTACTATCACAAGTTCATTATTTGACTCTGTTGTTTTCATGTGATGAATGTAGAGTGCTAATGATTAATCACAAGCAAAAAGTAGACACGTAGTTAAGTTTTGTAAATGTGTTCAACTAAACCAGCGCATAGATTGTGATGTGTATCTTGATTTTGTACTACCATTCTATTTACCATGTATTCTGTAGTACCAACTTCTACTCGTTTATACAAGGAGACCATAAGTTGAATATGTTGGTGGAACTGTTAATTAAGAAAAATAATGAGTGAAAGATGCCAAAAAGACTATAAATCTACAAGCCTTGTATCTTTAGTCCCATAACGCTTGGCTAATAGCCTAATAAGTCCCATCAAAATAATGAAAATAAAAACTGAATGATCATCAACAAATGGAAATTTATTAAACCAAGTATTGGAGGGGCGAGCCAGGCCTTGGCAGTAGTGTAAGAACAAGGCGACAAGTGAAGAACCCCAGCAGCAAGCTACTGTAATGGGCCTTCCCCCATGAAAAATAAGATTATTATCGAGTAGGCCGATGGCCCACATATCAGATATTAAACTTATAAGAACAGATACTACACTTGATCTTAGCCAAAAGGCCGAGAAAGGTATGCTTATTCCGCTCCTTGGCTTCTCCTTTTATACACAGCTTTCTCTGGCTGCTTCCTTCACCCATCCGATGTGGGATGCAAAGTGCAAACGCTTTCATTGCCTTCATAGTTCATTCATAACAATAACACCACCAAAAACAACTTCATTATATTCTCTTCTTTACTTTCTATATTCAAATAAAAGTTTGAGTACATATATGTGTTTATCGATCATACTCATCATAGCATTACTTTTCTTATTTTTCTTCTGTAGAACAAATTCAGAGAACCAACATATCCAATTTCACACTATCATATCCATAATGGGTGGGTCTTTAACACACAACGGATATGGAGAAGGAGAGAGAGACCATGCTGGAGGTTTACTATTTCGTATATCATTAAACACTGCTTTGTGACCAAAAGAACCAGGATAACAGAAAAGAGACAAGTTGAAACCAAGAACCTTCAAAAAGCCTAAACTGATCAAAGACGGTTTCTAGAAGAAGAAAAAGAAAGTGGCTTGCCTAAGAACCAATACATAACGATGATTCCTACCTCTCCATTGTTCTAAAACACCATACGATTATTAAGAGCAGTTTATTTATTAACGTAAGAACCAGTTCATACTTTTACAAAATAAAACCTCACTCTGACACTAAACAAATCACTAAATGAAGAAGAAGTAAAAATCAGCAAACCATCGAATAACTCTTCATTATATAGCAACTTTAGTTTAGCAACAAGCACTTCCACTTTAGCTTTATATCACATTTAGTCCTTGTCCGCTATTCCATCTTCCAAACCCAATCCTTTAGCTTTTCATGACAAACCAACCATTATTTTATCCATACAAAGCACTAACACCGCAATTATAAGTAACTTTTCACTTTTCCTCCCAAATACAAGATTGGGTATTTGGAATATGTCTAAAACATAAAGACAATATAACTCCTTCCTTAACAAAACAGAATTATGAAAATCTATATATTAGAACTAGCTTGGTCTTAAAAAACCAAACATTGACTTCTATAATAACCTCCTTCAACTAAAATTCTAATTGAATATGAACTATAAAATGACACCGTCGAAGTAAATTGTCATGTAAGAAAAATAAACATAGTACACAATAAAATCATTTTTAACGAAACATTTTATAACGGAACAGAGAACCACCAAATGTACAAACTATCTCATGACTACATTACCAACATATGACTTTCCTAACTAAATATTAATGAAACTTGAACTATTATATCAACAGGCAACATCAATATTTAGATAAAAGTTCCACTTAAACACCAAAAAAACTACTGATTGAATAAGTATGATGGTATTCAACAACCAACCAACCTTCTCATCAAGGGCGAATCCGGCTAGTAGCCAGGGTTATATCATGCTACCCCTCAGATTTATCCAATAGATTGTGTTACTCCTTCACCATATGTTGGTGATGTTAAGGGATTTGATTTGGTAATCTTCATCGTCTTCACTTTATCAATCAGCGGCCGGTCTATCAATTTTAAGCAAATTGTAGGAAATCAGTCACCACAACATCGAAATTATAAACAAAATATGCTTGCAAGTCAGCAGTGAATCGTTCATTTATAAAGTAATAGGCTTTAATCGATGTAATTTTACATATCAAAATTTCTGAACATGTTATTCATGGTGCGTGTTCTTACTCTATTGTGGTTCTTATAATTTGAATTATCGGATTTTTCACTTATCTTAATATCTAGTTTCGCATCTTCCCCATAAATTCAATAGACTCTCACTCGTGCACGAAACAAAACCAACTAACTATATAGACAGTCCAAAAACACTCCACTACCCCTGACTACATCAACTAACTATATAGACACTTACATCTAGACGTTTTTTCTACTAAACTCACATTAACTTGTAATTTTTTTATGACTAATCGCCTGTCTCTTTGTTTTGATACGAGTTGCACTTGAGACATGCATCTAATTATTATCATATTCGTTCAGTAGTAGGTTTCTTGATCTAACTGGCATGAGATCATTAGACTAAATTAACCAACTTGTCAATGTTGTATGGGTATGGTTATTTATATATTAGTTCAATAATAGGTTTCTCGATCTAGAACTCGAATGAGATCACCAGACTAATTTGACAAACTTGTTAATGTTGTCTATTTGATTCATTTAAGTGTATGGTGATATCACATTCCCAACAGGTAGAGAAACAAATCTCGTCTTGACTATATGCGTTTATCATGTGGTTAACACTATGTTTTTGGTAATACCTTTTTATTGTCTTAATTAGAACAACGTTCGACTACATCAATATATAATGATCCACTCATTCTAAAGCCAACATATATCTCACGTTGAGAAATATATAGACACGATCATTTTGGAGATTCACCAATTGCATCGATCCAAGCAAAAGGTTAGATCAATCCAATATTCACCAACAATGAATGTACATGAATTTGTGCTCTCATCAAGACACATTTTCATCAACAATGAATAATCGTGGTTCACATTATTCCCATAACATGAATGACTAAGGGCATTTATAATAACTTAGTTGTTTATAGATTAAAACATGTTAGTATAGAACATAGTAATTTAAATGAAAATGATCATACCGAGTATATCATATCATAACTTCAAAGAACAATGCTTATGTTCCAAATATCAAAATACTAAAATTTACTTAAAATCAACTACTAGTATGTCATGTAGAATAATTGTGCTTTTTTGTATTTTTTTCATATAGTGATGAAAGTAGGTTGTGTTTTCTTGTACTTTTCTCTATAATGAATTTGGTATTGCAGCATACAAGAGCTTGTTATGGATCTGGTTTTATACCAATAGTTGAGTATGGAGCCGACTTTGGCAAGGGCCAAAGAAAAGAAAAGGCAAGAAGGTTGTGAGGCTTTTGTACAATGGAAGAAATTATTATGATCTCCTTATACAAACAACACTCTATCCCCTTTGTATTATATTACTATTCTGAAAATTTTATTATTTAGAAGTTGTATAACAACTTAATGGCGTTATGCTTTGTGATTAAAAAGGGGATTTTTTACATTTGATTTATCATAAAGTACTATTATAAGTTCATGTTATACTATGTTGTCTTCATGTGATAAATGTAACCGGGGGCGGAACACAAGGACTATGGCTAGGGGTCCGAAATTAAAACTTCAAAACAAAACCATATAGACAAAAAACATTGGTTCAAAATTATGCTATAATCAAATTTCGAAACTACAAAACTAATAGCAAATATTGTTACATCGCAATTCAAATTATAACTCGTCGATCTTTTGCATTTTTAAAGTCTATTACAATGGTTTCTAGACTAATCTTTTCAGCAAGTTCACTTTCAAAGTGCAAAACGAGTGCGTCATTCAAAAACTCATCTTCCATTTTATTCTGTAAACTTGTTTTATTAAGGTTGTTTTAATAAGGTTCATCGTTGAAAATGACCTTTCTGTTGTAGCGGTGGAAACCAAAAGAGTAAGTATGAGACTAGCTACTCGATAAATAAGATGAAAATTGGCTACTCTTCCGGTCTTTATCAACCATTGACATGATTCAAAAATAGATGTCAATTGTTTATAATTTGCATGTTTAACAACATCAATTTCATAATGTTGAAGCTGCATCTTCAAAAGTAATTTCTCTTGTTCATTGAAATCTTCAGGATAAAACTTTTCTACTAGTTGACACACATCACCACTTCAGAAAGGCTCATTAGCACTTTTAGGGTCTAAAGTTGTTGAAAGTTGAAGCAACTCTATTCATCTGTCATTAAACCGATGATTTAATTCCATTAATTGACAATTAATGGCTTCATAAAAAATATCCACTCGGTAATGATGTTCAGTGTATAATCACTATGCTCCTAACGAGCTCGAGCCCCTATGCTAAAGTAGGCAGAAGAAAAATCAGGGATATCATTCTCGTGATCCTGACAAAATGACTTAACAAGAGAGAGAGAGAGATAGATAGATAGAGAGAGAGAGAGAGCAAACCATTCCATATTTCATCTTTCATCTTTTCCAACAGTTCTTTGGTGGGTGCAACTAGATTCAATGCATTACAACTATCTTGAGATTTTCATTATAAAGCTTGACAAAGTAAATCAGTGATCTCCATTATTTCTTTCTCGAGATGCAGAACAAAAATGAAGTCAAATGTAGTAATAGTCTGAATTTGCATCCCCTTTGATCGAACCAATGTCATCCTTAATAATTTTAAGTAAAACCTCGCAAGTAGGACTAAACATCTTGATTAAGCTCAAAACTAATTTTAGGTGAGAACTCCGTCTGTTATCTCCAACTCGTTGTAATGTACCAATTTGGTTGAGACATGTACCTGTCTCCAACTCATCTATAGAAATC